GACGCGCGTTTTGCACGAAGCGGATCAAGCCGATCAAGTGGATCAAGAGGATCAAGTATGGCGAGTGCCCAACAATTCCTTCGAAATGAAATGATGTTGCCCTGATGTAAGCTAATGACTACAGCATAACCCAAAATGTTTTTTAGAAGCTATTCTAGAGTTCTCACATTTGACTACGCCAAAAAAACAATTCATTTTGAGTTTATAATTTTTCTGAACACCTAATTATTCCAGGTTGGTGCAAGTCAATGGTCCGAAGCTTACAGGTTCATGATGCTAAGATGGATTTTTCTCAAAAATCAAAACCCATATTAGGATGTATTTTCATGTTAATGCTTTCATAGGCCTACAATAGAAGATACCCGAGTTAAAGAAAACTTGCATGGTTAGGGGCAGGAGTTTGCCATTTTTCGTTCGTCGTTCTTTTCAGACTTTCTAAGAGCAAAAAATGAAGCTGCAAATATGAAGACGGTTTATAGTTATGTGACCAACTAAGAAGCTCATAGGGATTTTCCTGATAAAAATCAGATTTTTGGCGTAATCTAATGCTCACAGACATGGGCTTTAAATCTCACTCGAGTCAAAAAAATGGACAGATGGGCTCGCTTTGTTATATTTATTAGGTTGAAAACTAAGTTTTGCAACTGGTCTCATAACTTTCCTCTCATTCAACATGGCGCACTCAAATTTTGCCACTGCGTTGGTTATTAAGTAAGCTACAAGCGTAGCTGCTGTCCTACCAAATTCTGGCGTCGCAGTGAGGGTTACGGTAGATGCATTGTATGAAGGGTAAAAATTCAAAGTTTGACGGATTTGGCTGAAACTTGGCATAGAGGTGTTATCCGACATGCTGATCACGAAAACGATAGTGAAATTGCGTGATAAGGGCTTTTTTTTAGGATTACCATAGGTGTGCAATATGTTACCCTAAACAAGGAAAAAGGCGTTGATTCAACAAATGAATGTGATATTCGCGTTTGGCAGGTCAAATAACCTCACTATGTAAAGTTTCGGCTGAATTTGAGCTTCGACTCTTTAGTCATTGATGGTCGTCCCCAGCAGCTCTTGCGTACATCGACTCGTTCGACTTTATGAGGACGTCAAATCTCGACATGCCTCTAAACTTTGTTTCTTTCTTACTAAGCCAAAGATGTCAACCTCCAGCAATAATTTGTAGACGAATCCGGATTACTGCGCATGGTCTAGGTTGCCAAAGGCTTCATTTTAGCTTGAAACCCCAAAAATTCTCAAATTTCACTAGTTTTCGAAAAACGCCTGAAACTTTTCTATTTCGTGTTCAAAATTTAGGCAATTTATGCTCGCTTGTAGCTCACATTGCATTCTACGAGATGCCAAAGTTTGAGTGCGCCATATTTAAAGAGAGTGAAGTAATGAAACCAGTTGCAAAACTTAGTTTCCAGCCTAATAATAATGTTCCATACTTACTTACTTAGATACTTAGATACTTAGATGGCCACGTGACGTGCGGGCCCCAGAGAAGTTTCCATTTCTCCCTGTCCCTCGCTTCAGACATCCACGATCTTCTTGGCTGACGTCGGTGGCTGCGTCCACGAGCTCCAGGTGCAAAAATCGTATCCAGCTGATTTCTCAGCTGGTCCATCCGTTCTACGAACACGTCTGCCCATCTCGTTGGAGGTCTTCCTTGGGGACGTTTTGCTTCGCGAGGAAACCACTCCGAAGTTCTTAGTGTCCATCTGTCGTCTGTTCTTCTCATAATGTTACCGGCCCATCGATGCTTCGCTTTCGCAACGTAATCCGCTGGGTCACGAATACGGGACATTCTCCTCATATCCGTACTGCGAAGTGCGACGAGATGTTGTTTGTGTCGGGTCATCTTCAGAAGACTACGCTTTAGCGCTCTGTGGGTGGTCCTTAAACTTTCGAAGTGGCTACGGTGTCAGCCCAAGTCTCAGCTGCGTAACAGAGCGCCGGGAGAACCTGAGGCGAACAGGTGGGCACGAAGCTCCGGGTCCGTCAGTTGGTCGGTGGCTTCCTTCAGAGGCCCGAAGGCGGCCCAGGCTGCTCTTCTTCTCCTGTTAAGTTCTTTCCTCAAGTCGTTCTCCATGTTCATCAAACGTTCGAGATACACGTAAGAAGACGTCTCCGTGATAGGGTGCCTTCCAATTCCGTTTCTGCATCTTCGCAAAGGGCGTTCTTCATGAACCGAGTCTTCTTCCGATTGATTCGCAATCCGATCTTCTTCCCTACTTCGTTCAGTTCCTTCAGCATCATCTCTGCTTCAGTGATACTGCTCGAGAAGAGAACGATGTCGTTCGCAAAACGAAGGTTCGACAGGAATCTCCCATCAACTCGTATGCCTCTCTCGTCCCAGTCCAGTGACTTCATCACCCACTGCAAGGCCGCGGTGAACAGCTTCGGCGAAATTGTGTCGCTTTGTCGGACCCCCTTCCCAGGAATAGTCAGGGAGCGATAGAACAGCTGCATCGTCGTTGTACAGTCCTTGTGACAGTCGGCTAACGTCCTCATGTAAGCTGGGTCCACTCCTTGATCGACTAGCGCAGACAGGATGACGTTGGTTTCGACGCTGTCAAAGACTTTCTCGTAGTCGACAAAGGTTAGGACGAGAGGCAGTCGGTATTCCCGATAGACTTCTATAACCCTCGAAACCGTCTGGATGTGGTCCATGCAGCTGAATCCTTTGCGAAATCCAGCTTGTTCTTGGGGTTGGGCTTCATTCAGTGTCCTAGATATGCGAGTGAGGATAACTTCGTGAAAAGCTTTTACAGCACACTCAGCACGCATGTTGGACGGTAGTTCCGAAAATCTTCCCGTTCACCCTTCTTGAAAAGAAGGACGGCTTTTGATATTCTCCAGTGGTCGGGAATCCTTTCCTTCTAAAGGTAATATGTTAGGTGCGACGCGAGAATCTCGTGTAGACGTTGTCCTCCAGCTCGCACAAATTCGACGGAAAGATGGTCTGGTCCTGGCCGTGGACGTCTTCATGGTCTGGATCGCTGTGCGCACTTCAGCAGGTAGAATTCGTGGTGGTACTTTTCCAGTGGGAACAACGGGCATCGGCACGGGTGTTGATGAGCGGAAGAGGTTGGTATAGAAGTTCTTCGCGATAGATTCCATCTTGTATGCGGAAGAAGTCGGAGTCCCGTCTTCGTTTAAAAGTGCAGCCAGCGGTACGTGATATTCACATAGGTCCCTTCGGCACTTCTTGAGACTTCTTCTTCCTTCGGCTGCTTCCACTATCTTGACTTGCCTGTACTTCCTGAGATCCTCCTGCAAAGCTGTTCTGCAACTGGCGTTGGCTATCAGTCGCTCAAGATGGGTTGCATTCGGATCCTGCCTCAGAAATCTTCGGTGGTCTTCGAAATGCGTTCCACGTTCTTCTCGGAAGTCACTGAGGCGCACTCTCCGCAGGCTCGCAATCCTTTCAGAGCCGGTCGTAGTCGTACGTTGGGTCCTCCTCGATGGGCCATTCACAACTTGATATGAGCTCCTCCAGCCTGTTACCGTCATAAACGACAATCTTCCTTCTTGCGGCACTGCGGCAGACCTTCTTTTCCAGCCTTCGACTGAATCATACCTTCGCTCGAAAGAGGCGGTGATCGGAGCCACTGCAGAAGGATGGAACTACTGAGGCATCGAGAAAGCTCCACTTTCGGTTGGTGAGAATGTGGTCGATCTCCGCATGAGTCGTTCCGTTGGGCGATTCCCATGTCTACCGGCGATGTTCTTTCTTCATGAAGATGGAATTTCCATGGAAAAGTCGTGCGGCGGAGAGAAGCCCAACAAGACGGTTGCCGTTTTCGTTCCGGAGCCCATATCCAAACTTCCCGATCCTATATTCTAGTGGCATCCCGATTTTCGCGTTGAAGTCGCCCACAACAAACTTGTAAAAGGACTTCTCGTTGCGGACGACCTCCTCCACATCTTCGTAGAAAGCATTTAGTTCTGATTCGTCAGCTGCTGATGTTGGAGCATAGCAGTTGATGATGCTGATGGTCTTCTGACGTGGAGGTCGTAGTCGTAGGATGGCTAGTCGAAGTGACAGGATCTTATGCGAATCAGCAAGATGGACGATTGATGGGTGGACGACAAAGCCAACGCCTCCAGCGTTTCGTGATAAAACCTTTCTACCACGAATGATAAGGGTCCCATCACTCATCTGTCGCACGTCCTTCTTCCTGGACTTCGTTTCCTGCAGAGCGATGATGTGGTACTTGATGTGCTCTGCAGCGTCGAGAAGAGCGTGGAGGTCGGCGTTTGTGGAGACTGTCCTGGCGTTGTAGGTGCAGAGCATGAGGCAGTCTCCATGGCATGTCGTCCGGGCAGACGTGTCGTTTTTGTCCGATCCAAAAGGCGCCTTAAGGACCCTGACATCCTTCTTGCTACCATCCGGCGCCGTAGGTGGGATCCGATGTACAGGGTTTTTCTATATTTTCTTGCTGTCTGAGTAATAAAATTTGTTCCCCTACAAGAGCAAACTTACTAGGCCAACTCTTGATTTCCACGAAGCGATCGCTGACCTCGGGCTTGGAGCGGGGAGAACCGCCTAGCGACCAGAAGAAGCCAGACGGCGGGGGATCTGGCGTGGCCGGTTCTTAGCTAGGCATCCGGCGTTGTTCTCACGGCACAAAACAAGTCTAACAAAGTGTGATCGCAGCTTCACATAGGTACATCCGCCAGGCACACACTACCGGTTTAAAGAAGCTCAAGCTTTTTTTCTTGAAAGACCAATTTGCCTGCATTTCGCCCTGTTCTTTTATTTTTTGTTCAAGTGCTGTGTCTTATTTACTACCGTTTTATGATCACGTTAGTATGCACTACATGCAGTCTCATATAAGTCAACATTCTTAGACGAAACAACTTTTGAGTTGGGACTATTCCACGCAGATTTACGGCTCCCATTTGGAATAGCAATCTTTAGCAAGATCATAACATCAAAAAACCTCTAATTTTCACAAGCAAAACTTTTGAAGCACTTTTTGCTTACCAATTTTTTCAAAATGATGACTGATATCATGTCTGAAGCTCAAAATCTACAAATAAAATCATTATTTGAGGTAGTCCGATTGTGCGTTGAGTGTGCACTGCGTAGGTGCATATGGGAAGCTGGCCGGGACACACACTACAGCTAAGCTGTTTTACCTGAAGCTCTCGCAGTTACAGCGAATGATCCGCCTGCTCTTTTCACACTACTTCAATGTTTGTTCCGGCGTTCCGAAGTGTTAACTTTCTGACCTGATTTGCAGGTTCTGAAAGCTTATAGCCAAGTCGTCTCTGGAGTTATCTATTACTTGGATGTCCTTTACGGCGAATCCGGTTGCAAGAAACAAGTAAGTATTTATTGCTCAAAGAACCGAAATGCTCTACCACACGCTCGTGCGTTGTCTATTATAAGGAAAGGCACCTAACCCAGCTCCGCCTTTCGGAAAGAGACATTCTGAATATGTTATTTTTAGTTGCGGCGCCTTATTTGACGCGAGTTATGAGCTTTCTACTGTGCGAAACTGGCATACTACTCGACATTGGAAGGCTGTCAACTAAGTAGGAATCATCCCGAAAAGAGTGCTGGGTTGTGAAATAAAATCAAATCAAATCTATACTCTCCGACAAGACTTTTAACGCAAGTGCATCAGTACTGTTGGTGTTGTCACGATGCCAGCAGTTTAGTGAGTATGCAAATTTTGCACGAAAAAAAGTTAATAACTTGCTCGAGACTGATGCACCGCAGCTGGCGATAGCATTATGTAGAATCAGCTTGTGGAACTGATTCAGGAGATATATGTCCCATTCCGAATAGTCAAGTTGTTGTGTGCTTCCCCTGGTAGATTTTTGATTGTGTTCATACTGAGTTATCATTCGGTTCCATACTTGATCACATCTTGACACCTTTTACATACAGGAAGTTGACCTTGAAAAATTGAATATGGCCAATTGCAAAGTGATGGACGAAGGCAAAAAGCGGTCAGTGCCTATCATCCTTAGCATTTTCTCCTCTGATGGCCTCCGTTTCCTTATGAGATTAAGTATCATGTCATACCTTGGAAAAATTATGAGGAAATCAGCGTAAAGAAGGTGAACTAATTTTCGATTTCCCAACTTGTAATAAACATGGACAGCAGGCAGGCTTTGAGCTTTGTTGATTTTTGATTATCGTAGATCATTCGTTTTTTTGCTTTGAATGTCATTACTTTTGATAAAAACTTGTTCTTCTGAAGAAATGCAGAGCTATCGGGACTGTGTATGAGAAAAAGGTTCAAACTTTGTCAATGCCTTCAAACTGCCATTCGACTGCATCCAAGTTTAATTTACTGATCAAGCAGCTTATGCCAGCCCGAGCATTCGACCTTAGACCTTAACATGCGCTCGGTTTCGCCACAAACTGCAGCTAGGTATATGAATAAAAGTTTTCTAACGCAAAGCTCCTGTGTTGAGTGCAACTGTCATACATGGTTTATTGGCAAAGTAACAAGCCTTTGATATTAGGTTGAACCGAAAGTTCTATCGCGCCGTTTTCAAAAAATCATAACTTCTTTAGGTCATGACGATTTTGCGTAATTAAAATTTTGCCTGAAAGCGTAAAGCATGTAGTTTCCAAAAGCTCCCTGGTGAGTTTCCGATATGCTCAGATGGCAGAGATAAAAATGAAAGAACGAGATCATCCGAAATTCGGAATTTTCAAACAAGAATTCTAGAAATTCAGAAACTGTGCGATAAAATCCAGAAAAGCCATTATCCTAATTTTTCTTACATTTAATTACTAAGTGAGTCAAGTTTGTGCTGATCAAGGTCTTTTTTCAGAAGTTATGAATTTTTGAAAAAAATACCCAAAAAATCCATTTCTTAAGAATTCTTAGGAAAGTGATTTTTCGGCATTATTTTTCAAAAAATCATAACTTTTGAAAGAAGGGCTCGATCAGCTCAAACTTGACTCGGATAGTAATCAAATGTAAGAAAAATTAGGATAATGGCTTTTCTGGATTTTATCGCACAGTTTCTGAATTTCTAGAATTCTTGCTTGAAAATTCCGAATTTCGGATGATCTCGTTCTTTCATTTTTATCTCTGCTAGCTGAGCATGTCGGAAACTTACCAGGGAGCTTTTGGAAACTGCATGCTTTACGCTTTCAGGCAAATTTGAATTGCGCGAAATCACCGTGAGTGAAAGAAGTTATGATTTTTTGAATACGGCGCGACAGAACTTTCGGTTCAACCTGATATAATAATTGATCAAAATGAGTACAATTCATAATTCAGGATTTCCAGGGCACCCCAGGCTGTACCCGGAATTTTCTAAAGTGGCTAATCTGAAGCGGTAAATGCTCGTTTGGTTAGTCGTTAATAAAAAGAACTAGGTCAAAATGCAAGTTCAGTAAGTGTATATCAAAAGATCTTTTTCAACATAACGTTACTGACAAAGCAAACGGCATTAATGTTTAAGAATAAACGAGCGCAAATTCCTTTCACTCAAGACTGTACTAGTACTAGACGAATTTGAATTTTGTCTGAAGATAAATTTGGAATTGGTCTGAAATATACCGGAACACTGTTGGTCTTCAATCAATAAAAATTCTAAGTGTGCCTCTACTACTTCGGCTGAGAAAAATATTGCCCAAATATTGTACCAGTACAGAAATGAGCAGAATAAGAACCAATACATCGGTGTGTTCTCAATTTCGGATCTTCTCAGTCAGAACTCGGTACGCCTGGCGTCATGAGCATCGAGGGAAAGGAAGAAGTGCCTCTTCTGCTAATCTATGCAGTTCTAATCTAAGAAATTCACTTCTGAATCAAAAAGCTCGAATGCGCTTTCCACGCATTTAATCAGCAAGCTTATACATGTGATCAATCACATCTTGTTTAATCAATTCCTCGCTTTTCCCGGAACAAACTGCGATGTTTTTCAATCCAAGAAAACAGATCCATCATTTTGTCCTCTTCTTCTTGCTTCTCGCTTAGAACCAACTTTTGAGTAGAGGAATGAGCAAACGATAGTGGCAAAAGTGCATGAAATAAGAGGGAGGGGTGCTCGATTTAGCGCAATTTTACCTATTTTGCGAAAAGGCTGATATCATACTTGTTCTTAAAGGTCCATGCAGTTTACGAAGAAGTGAAATTCTTAACTTACATGCTTCAATGAGAACTCACATCGCATAGACGTTCATGATTATGTTCCATGACCACATGAGTTATATTACAAACCGTGAATGAGATGAAATGCGGTGCATATGGGAGTGTCGAGCAATAGAAACAGCTTGTAGATTTTTTTTTCGAAAGCTATTCAGTGTCATCGCAAAGCGATCTTTTTAAGAATGAGTGAGTATGGGAAACCCTCATTATTAGCAAGGTCTTCTTATTGGATGAGGGAATGCGAAGTACAAACAAGCATAGAAGTGTTACTGATATACTGCAGTACTGCCAGTAGGCGCTGCTGCTGAAAAGCTTTAAAGCATGCGAGGAGGTGGCTTTTTTTATTATCCCTTTCTGAGTTAGTTGTTTCTTGAATTTTATGCGTAAGGTTCGATACTTCCAAAGTTTTTGACATACGAACATGCACGCACGCACACAGAGAGAACAACAGGGACTGTGATCCATGTAGGGTCATAGCAGCTACGACGGCTTTCAAAGCTTAGGTACCATTCTATCATAGGTGGCTTCGACTCAGATTCACAGCATCGAACAAATTACAATTGTTTTTTATTACTGTAGAAACAGGCTCAATACATCGTGACATAGATTGTTTTGAAAAAGAAAACATATCCAAAAATTTGAAACTCGGTCGTTTTCACGTATGTTGAGTTCACTGCACAACTTTAGCTTTCAGAGCTTCTCAAATAGTACAGCTAAATTTTTGAATAACATAAAAAGCTTGTTTCGGTGCACCTGGGATAACCAATAAAACAAGCATTACTATGAGATGGAGTTTCATATATGAAGTCAGCAACCTGAGCAGCTCGGTGTAGGGGCTTTCAACATTTGGCTCTTTTTCAAAGTTAAAATATGGGCTAGTGATTCAAAACCTTTTTCAAGCTTCCTACCTAAACTAACAGTAATAGAAAGTCAGCAGTTTACTTCACATTCTAAATCTTAGCCAGCATTTTAGACGGTATCCTAGAAGCGACGGAATACGCTAAAGTGAGAGAGTGACTGATTGCCGAAAATTGCACGTAGAGTGGATTTATTTTTAGATTCACCTGTTTTCTGAGAATCAGAAAGTCTTGCACTAAGGCAGTGAGACTGAGAGTTGTACGTAATGCTTGGCTAAGCTATAATATCACTACAACAACCTCTCAGTTTGAATTACAGCACCTGAAGAGCATGTCATATATGAGTCTGATAAGATAAAACCAGCAGCTGGCACTAGGTAGAAAGGCGTGCTTTATATGGAGCCTTTTTTTAAAATTCTTGCCTTATTTTCGGGGCGTGGCGTGAGCCTAGATTTTAGGGGTTGGGGACCCACAAAAATTTTCAGAAGCAGAAAAAATTTTTGGAGTGCGTTAGCCACGCACTCCAAAAATTTTTTTCGGAGTGCGTGGCTAACGCCACTCACCTTCATTAAAAAATTTTCTTTGTCTCCCCCCCGGACGGAAATTTTGGGACTGCCACTGATATGGAGGTGGACGTGTTGCATCTACCCATTTTAAACGAAGAGCAAAAAGAAATAGGAAGATGCAATATATATGCCCGTCAAACTTGAGTTTTGAAGAGGAATAAAAAAAGAGATCTTGACTCAATGAGTCATGCTATGGCTACAGTTCAAACATTTCCCGAATTCCAATTTGAATAAAATAGAATGTGACAGTGGAACATTTGGGGGACGAATTTCGCGTATCTGTGAAAAGAAGTACTCTTGACTATGCAAATCGTATTTCTGGAATTCGTTTGCTTGAATCATGTGTCTGACTCATCTTGGGTTTTTTGTCTCTTTACACTAGCACTATCATCATCGGATCATCGTTTGAAGGCTGTCCTGATGCCATTCCGAGTGCACACTAAGCCGAATGATGACCATTGGTAAATACATCCCGAGGATTTAAGTGTTCTCTTCTGGTCCTCTGCACATTTTATCTATGCTACCTCGATCACAACTTAAGTTCCTCTTGTGCGCTCAGGTGTATTAAGCTCTATGTGAAGGGCGACGTTCAGCCACATCTTCCATTTTGCAGTTTATGTCTGTCGTATACTCTCTTTGTCCACAATGACTAAATGTTGACTTTGATACCTTGCCCTTGCAGTTGTTGAGCAGTTTTTGCAGACATTATGGCAAACCTTATCTTTGCATTCGCACTCTTCTGCGCTGTTGCGCTCACGAGCAGCACGATGATGCCAGGAGGAAAAGCTGACCAAGACCCCAGCAGTCCTAGATATATGGTAGGTTAATTTCATTTCATCAGTTGATTACACCCTATGTTTATCCTATATCCACGCACACACAATACTTACTTACTTCATCCACTCCATCCACTTCACTCTTTTCAAAACCAAGGCGAAGCGGGTGAAGTGAACAGGTATGGCGTTTGCATAGTGTGACGAACTTTTCTAGGATATGGCATGGAAGGCTGCGAAACCATTGAACGAGGATTCAGCAGCAAACTCGGGCGAGTATGCCATGATGCCCATTAAAGTAAGAACTGCATTCTACCATTCTACCAACTGCATTCTACGAATCATGATCAGTTACAATTGCAGGTTTTGAAAGCACAAAGCCAAGTTGTTGCTGGAGTCATCTACGATTTGGAAGTCTTATATGGCGAATCTGGTTGCAAGAAAGACGTTAGTTATGAGTTTGGAAATAGTTTGAGCAAGTTTTCAAGCAATCAAAAAATTTTTCTTCAAAATTCAAGCATTCTAATGCTAAAATGTTTGACTGCTTCTTAGCGAAAATTCCTTGATTGGCTCTGAACCAGAGAAACAAAAGAACTCGATTACAGGGTGTTGACCTTTCAAAGTTACAAATGGCCAACTGTAGGGTTATGAATGAAGGAAAGAGAGCTGTTAGTTTTTTTTCTACTTGTAAATGACATTACTTGTTCTGACTTCATCTTGCAGATTTACAAGATTCACTACTACGAGAAGCCATGGCAAAACTTTTTGGAAATCAAAGTGTCGAAAATTCGGGATGTCGATGCTGGTGAAACCTTCTGAGCTTTTTATGGTTTTCAGAAATCTTTGTCCTAATATTTCTGTAATTTGATGAGTAAATGTAGACGGCAAATGATCTTGCGGCTATGACAACAGACTGAGTAAAAGAATGCAAAAAATTGCTTGTTACGCAATGCTTTTGGCTCTACATAGAGTTCACAAAATTCAAGTTCTGCAGCGAAAGAAATGACATTTGAGGACGTTTGAAAATAGTGTGTAGTGTAAAGTTTTTCAGACAAATACAGGTCTCATCTAACCAATACATCACGAATAGACCATCTAGTGCACAAGTAATAATCTTCAGTGAGCAACTGAAGCGACTCCAGTTTGCTTGGGATTTAATAAAACATAAAAAATTTTCCTTTAAAACGCCAACCATTACTCGATTGAGGCAGAGCTTAACTTTAAATCCCACATATAAGGCGCCATGATCTATGATTTAGGGGACAATTTGTATTTTTGTGTTCGTACTAGATTAACAGTAAGGCCTCGGGCAGAGTATACGCGATTTGATCGTCGCGATTCAGTCGCGACAAGACAACTGTTACGAGTTCATTGCATGCCGACCAGCTTGCATTTCGGTTGTGATACTTTTCCAGTCCGAAATTTTTGAATGTAAAATGAAAATGAATGGAAAACACGGCGACCGAATCGCGACGATCAAATCGCGTGAACTCTGTCCGAGGCCTAATGCATATTATTAGATTCTTAGAAGAAAATCTCTATGGCACCCGCCATACTTGATCCTCTTGATCCGCTTGATCCGCTTCGTGCAGAACGCGCGTCACTAATTTGTCATTTGGAGTCGCGAATAGCGTATTTGCCGTATTCAAACAAATTCCTTTTTACCTACGCGGCGCCAAATGACAGACTGCTGTGTGCGCGCGTTTTGCCCGCGTTCTGCACTAAGCGGATCAAGCGGAACAAGCGGATTAAGTGGATCAAGCGGATCAAGTATGGCAGGCGCCTATAGCGAATGACCCTTCTTGTTCTCTTGAGCAACTACTATCGTTATGACCCTGTGCCTTCCGCGCTCGCGGGTGACAAAGTCGCGTTTACGCCCCCGTTTACCCTCGGCTTTCTTTTGGCAGTAGGTTGCCCCAAAAGTATACTCCTTTTTCTGACTAACTCAGGCTGTTTTTGTTTTCCTAGCATATTTAGGGTATACGGCCGCCAAGAGTCAGCCTAAGTCGCCTTCCATGTAAATTTTGAAGCCAAAATCCAAAAAAAATTTTGTCACCTGCAAATTGGATTTTTGCGACAAAGAATTCTATAGACCTCTAACTTGGTCATTATACAGTAGTCATATAGTAGTACTCAAATATGCCTTTACCGATTTTTTTTCCGGCATAGAAAGCGAGAAACAAAAATTGTCCAAAAATGGCAAACTCCGCCCCAGTTCCTCCCACTATGTCATTGTATAGTACAAGCCTTACTCAGTATAATTCCAATACCTCACCCCTGTATGTGATTTTACATCCGAGAAATACTAAGATTTACATTAAAAAAAAACCCAAAAAGTGGCATTTTGGCATTTTCGGACCATTTTTTCTCAATTTTGAGCCTCGGAAAAAATCCGCCAAATACATTTTTGGGTACTACTATGTGCCTACTATGCGAAGACCAAGTTGGAAGTCCGTAAGAATTTTCCGGAAGGAGATCCGATTTTTAAAGTAGCTGAAAAATTTTGATTTTTGTCTCCAAATTTTACCTAGGTTACGAATTAGGTGGGTCTTTGGCAGTCTTTTTGTAGAGCTTGTTGCGCTCTCGAATGGTACCCTAAATCTGCCAAAAAGTCAAAAAAAAGCTCAAGTTGTTTAAAAATGAGTTTACTTTTGGGACAACCTATTGACTTTTGTGACCGTGAAAATCACCAAAATGACATGTAAACTAATCACTGTTTTGCTGTTGGGGGCAACAGTCGCTAAAATAAGTATCATTTCACAGATGGCAATTTCAAATTACTATCTTTTTGCTTGGAATGCTGTCAGCGTCCAAAATGGAGACAGGAGGCGAATTTAATCTACAGTATACTTTCTGCGCATGAGATTTTCCTAATCCGTTTCGCTGTTGAAATCAGTATTGTGAGCGCGAGCTTGATTGCTTGGAACGCTTTTGTGCAAAAACATCTTTGACCGCCAACAGCAGTTTCCACCCGCAATCTTTTCATGATGTTTCAAGAAACTTATATAGCTACTTTGTAATCAGCTTATTTATACACAAGTGCAATAAACTGCTTTTGGTCAGTCTCAATTTTTCAGTCAAGCATTCGTTCCGCATTACATAAAGCATGTTGAGAGCATTCAATGCGCACAAACTATGATTTGTGAGGACAAATTAGGAAGAAACTAAGTACTCTTATGAAACCGAAATTCGAGGTTCTACTGGGTTGCAACTTGCAAGCAGGAATGAAGGTCAGTACAGGGTTTGATGGAACGTCAATTCACACAGAAGAGTCTTGCTAGAGGTTGATTCACTGTGTTCAGCAAAGAAGATGGAAGTTGAAGGGAAATTCGATAGAAAATTTGAAAGCTCGGTGACGCTGCATGTAAAGCTCGGGGGTCCATCAACAGTCAAGGAGTCAGACTTTTACAATACGTCCAGTGTCAGACTTGCTGACCACAGCATAGTAAGGTTTCGAATTAGTAAACAGTAAATTCATACTCATCTAAAATAAATGAGGGCCCAAAATTCGTATCTTTGTTTTATGCGCACAGATATTGCGTTTTCCCATGGATAGGAGTGGGATAATAAGATTCAATAGGTTTTACCAAGAATCTCATAAGGACGGAATGGCAGTTGACGTTTAAAGACGATATGTAAATTGGACGACTCTCTAGACGCTGATTCCAAAACTTCATTCCTCTTTTGCGGAACAACATTTTGAATGAAGTTACGAGCATTCAAATGACCAAATTTGTTAAACATTATGTGGCTCAGAATAAGCGAAAAGCTTTGCACCGGCTTTGTTCCTTTCTTGCAGACAAAATACTTGATACTAAATCAATAACCCGCTTTAGTCGGTTTTGTAACGATTTTCGGTAATTTTAGGCCGCTTGAAGCTTGACAAATCCGGACAATCCAATGCTTATGATTTCCGCAAGAAAGGAAAGTAGACTAGGAACTGCGTTCGAAAAAGCGTTTATTGATATATGCATCCTGTCTTCAATCGCCAGCTTATGTTGTCCTCCTTCCCTTGATAGCCTCTTGCACATAGGTAATTTAATAGTCTGAGAACTTAAAAGTACGTGGCTTTTTTCTTCAAATTGCCGCAAACGCTAACTTACAATGGACATCGGAATTCAATTTCCGGATAGAGGATTTTCGTTTTGCATGCGCCTCTAAGATTCTAGCCATTAGCTCAAGGGGATAGGGGAACGAAAGCCGTCAGTTTGGGATGCCTTCAGCGGCCCACTGGTCCTTTTGCGAAGTCGTTGCATGCGTTCCAGGACCACTAGTTGTGGATGCGGTTCAAACTACTGGCGGCTTTCGTTCCCCTACCCGCTCAGTAGCTCCACATACAAATAATCTCTGATGCGGAAACGAATAAGGAGCGAGTTGAAGCCGTAGGAAAGAAATCTAAGTTTCTGGTGTTCGGAGTTTTTCGGACTCTGCGCGAATGCTGAATGTCATTGTAGAGCTTAGATTGCTCATTGCGCGGTAGACAACCTATAAGCTCTATGTAGGGGGGGGGAGTATCTTAACTGATCTTACAAAAGCTCGTACACTGCACAAATGTTGCTTGCCTTTCTTACTGTGTTTGACGTAGCTCTGATCCAAACTGCTCTATCCAGAATAAATGACAAAACCATAAACGGTCGTGCGTGGGTGGTGTAAGCATAAGGAAGATAAAACAGATTTGGTACACTTTTTTCGCAAAAGAAGATGCTGTAGTTTCGTACGTGTGCTAATGGGTGCACAACTGAAAACACTCTCTACTTGCACTTGTCTTCCAGAAGTTGACTTTTACGAGTGTTTTACAACACGACAGACACCTAATATGGGTTCATCAAGTCAGAAGAAAAAAAACTGTGATTTTGCATTCCTGCTTCTTGTATGTGTGTGTAGATATTGAGTGCTTACAAGTGGATCTGCTTGCAAGAGGGCGCCAGAGCGAGTACCAATGGCTTGGATTATGCCATTACTTGTAATGTAGGGTCTGTGAAAGAGTGTGAGCGAAGTTCAATAAAACATGTGCTGCCTCCTGCTGTTCGTATACAAAGTGCATGGCCCTTCATTTTGTAAGTATCACGCCAACTGATTGCTATCTCCTTGCCAGTAGCCGTAATGACGACTGTAAAAACTACAAGCATTGTTTGGATACTTTATTCTTTGACAGAATTCCATTGCTTCATGTTGTTTCAAAAACCGGTCGACCCTTTTTCATTACTATGAAAAATGTAGAGCTTTCACTTTTTTACAATACCGCTCACATTTTTTTGAAAAGACGCGAAATGTATGGACATGTATGGACATGTATGGACATGTATGGACATGTCCGTACATGTCCATACATGTCCATACATTCGCGTCTTTTTTTCAAAAAATGTGAGCGGTATTGTAGAAGCCATGGGCTCATCTATACGCGTGTTTCTCGAATTTGGAAATTCACCGAAGTTACTTTGAGTTTTTTTTTTGAAAACTGCTGACGAAAAACAGCCCTTGATATCCTTTGCTGAACATATCGCAATACGGTGCAATTTTTGGAATCACATGGACTTGTAACTTAATCTTCTACTCGCAGCGCCGTTTTAAATCTGGCCAGAGCAGCACAGCAGTTAAACGCAGGGCCCGGCACGAGGTCGGCAAATGACAAGCTGTAAATCGTTCTGGGGCCAAAAAGCAAAGGGGAAATCGTTTTTGCGGGGTCCGGGGCAGAGCCCCGGAAAAAAAATTGGTAGTTCATGCTCGCTACTTATCTTGACATGTTATGTGCCTCAACAGGCGAACACTGGAGTTCGCGCGCGTCAAACCGCGCCGTCGCTAAGTGCCGCACGCGCGACGTCGCCCAAGCGATGCTATTTGTAACTGCATACATGACTAGTTCTCAATGTGTGTGTAACGATATGGCACCAAATTTTGTGTACGAACGGGCAGAGGCTAGTGGAAACATAGTATG